GACAATTGGTCAGTCGGGTGTATATCACCAACTGCAATTGCAAGAGAAAGTTGTGTATGCGGCATTTTTTTGGGGGAACAATACAATTGGAGACCACATGTGTGTCCGATGCTGAAAGAGGGAGCGCAAGAAGGATTGTGGACATATTGCTATCCGGAGTTAAGTTGCACAGAGAAAGAGAATAGTGGGAACTCATCAGTAAACTATCGAGTACAAAAGATGGTGAATAACGGTCCACAGGACACAGTGGTAGTGATGGATTATGTGTCAACACAGCTACAGCAGGAAAATGCGAGGAAAATGAGGAATCGTATAAGAAAAAAGTTATTTGCTGCTAAACTTCCAGGGACAACCTTGGGTACGGTGCTTGCAGCAAAGGTTTCTACCGAAGTTTTCATCAAGATTTCAACAGCAGTGTCAATATTCAGTTATAATTTGTTCTTCTGGATGGGTGCTCAATGTTACGACCTTGGTGAAATGGAAAATGATACAGCGGATGAAAACAATTTTGGTGAAACGGGGGAGCAAGATGATACAGCGGATGAAAACGAATCTGGTGAAACGGGGGAGCAAGATAACGAATCTGGTGAAACGGAGGGGCAAGATGAAAAGGGTGAAGAGAAAATTGATGGAAAGTGTGGAAAGCAAATTTCAGAGGTAAAGAAAGCAGTAGAAGCGGTTCTAAAACTATTACCTTTATGGCTCACATTCGCATCTACATGTTATCTGGTTAATGCAACGGCTGAGTCTTTCTTCATGGAACAAGTTGATTATCTAGAGAACAATACTGAAAGCTTCAAGATTCCTAAATCCGTTTTCTTTTCCTTTCCGGATATTGTCTCCCACATAACTTGGCAGGTGAGCGATTATCTAGTCGAGCAGTTCCATGATGAAAACAAAGAAGCGCGGTGGGCTAGGCTCCTCAGAATCAGCATTGGCATGCTTTTTTCCTCTTTGTGTTGCATAGTAGCTTCTCTTGTTGCTCACAGATTGGATTCCAATTATAATTCTGCCAGCATGTTGTGGCTTCTGCTCCAGTTTCTTCTGTTGGGAATGATGAAA